AATAGTTATACACAGGAAGGAACAACACCTCACACCAGCATGCCGTCGCTCAATTCCAATGATCTGGGGCTTCAATTTTGCGATTAAACTCGGAAACGCTACCCAGAGCTACATGGTCACAGGTTGAGGGAACACCGATATTAATTGTATTAGTGTAGCTCGGCGGAAGACACATGGCAGAATCTCCTTCGACTTGTCTCTCCCGTTGAATAAGGAATTTCCTCCTTGGAATATATATCCCATCATCGTAATCATGAGGCGGATGGTATTCGGTAATCAAAATAAACAAGGACGACGTCAATGCGGCCTACATCACAGAACAGGTATCATAAGAATCGCCGTAAAGATCAATAGTCGCTGCCCTCTCGTTCTCCTTTTGTTTCGCTTTCGTTTCCTTGGGAAAAGATGAGGCAAGGAATGCAAGGAGATCCATGTCCAGATTTGCTATATCAACGAATCAGCTATCCTGTCACGAAAAAACACAGGCCAACAGCTAACAAAAAAAAAAAAAAAAAAAGAAAGAAAAAGGAAAAAAAGAAAAAAAGAAAAAGAAAAAACCTTTACTTACCTCCCGTCGCTTCCATTACGACACCCTGTCGACAGAGAGCACATTGGTTTTGTTTGTCCCTTTGCATAACTACCAAACACCGTATGCAGAAAACATGGTTACACCGCAGTCGAACCGGTTTAAAAGAAACGTCGAGGCATATGGGGCACAAGTAATCGTCCAGTTGTGGTATGACAGTAAGAACCTCTTCCGATATAGTATAACAGACAGCTTTGGCCATGGTTCCTGCCAAAAAAGCTTCAGTTGCCATGAGCTGTGGGAACACGGTGCGAGCACGGAGAGCCGTGCGCTTGTCAAATTTCTTCAAGATCTTGGTAACGGCAATGCGATTGATCTCCTGGAATTTCAGGTTCTGCAACAGCACACTGTTGATCCACAAGAACGTCTCAAGCGCAACACGCCCCTCCTTTCCAAGCTTTTTGGTCCGCCGGTCTTGTTTTAATGTTGCTTGGAATTTTTCCAACTGCTGGCTTGCCGTTTGAGCATCTCTCTGGCCAGAACCCTGTTCATCAGTGCAGAAAAACACCTGCATATCTATATACACTCTGAATATTTCCCGCCATGTATATAAAGCAGAGTGTGACTTCTTGAATTGAGGTTTTGTCACCTTGACAATCTCATTATGCAATTCTTGGACCCGCGCGTTAAGCGCGATTTGCTCCTTTTCTTGGAGATCGTTCAAACCCGAAAGCTCCCTGTTCAGAATCTGGAAAAATTCGGAATCAGAAGAGAGGGGTATTTCAACAAGGAGTGTAGTTTCGATGTTATCATCGGGTATGTGGGAATTTCCAGTGCCAGGGCGTGATTCTCCGACAGGAACCAGGTTGCGACAGTTATCATTAGTGCCCAATCCCGATTCCGTCTTTAATCCAGATAAACTAGCTGTAGTTATTGGAAGGGGAAGTTTATTCAGTTGCTGAAGGAATTCGAGTGTCTGTGGTGAAACGAAGGCATCGATTGGGGAACCATCGGAGGGGTCGATAACGAATGTCAACTTCGGCAGCAAAAACGACGTCGAAGGATTTTCTGTAGAAAAATTGGTAACCGTACTGTAAGGAACAGGATCTATCTTCATCCCAAAACTTACTTCTCAGAGAATACTGAAAACCAGACGAACGATTGTCCTCCCCCACATCAGCGTCCATGGAATCCGAGAGTTGGTCCTGACTCTGGCGCCATAGGAGATTCAGGATTTCGGGATGAAGTCCCAGGGACAACAGCTCCTTGCGCACCTTTTTGATGCACTTTTTAAGCTGTCTATAGGAGATCGCGGACTGAACCCATTGGGAAGGATATTCCTCAGCCCTAAGGCTCTGGGTATAGTCATGCGCAAACTTCATAGTGGGAGAAGTTGCCCGGAAACAGAGAGGAATACAGGAATACGGTTGTTCACCGAGAAAAATGCAAATTGAACGATTGTTTCCCCCAATAGATACCAATTTACTAGAAAACTGCTGTGCTCAAGGGTCTCGCATTTCAGAGGCGTGGAGGATAGGAGCGCGGTCCGATACTTCGGAAAAGACGTGGGATTGGAGGGACCAGGAACAAAGCAAATTCCATTGCAGATGCCGGAGGATGCTAACTGGGCAATGACTTCAGATGGGATTTCAATTAGGCAGAGGGGAGAGGGTAGAGAATGTGTATGGTGTATGGGAAGCAGGTGGAAGATGTTGCATCTGGGATAACACGAGAAAAGAAGTTTGTGATCAAAGTTGACTGTGGCGGTTCGACTGTGGAGGTTGTGCGACCCAAAGGTTCCTGGACTCCCGTAAATTTACCCCATGTAACGGTTAACAACCCTGTACATACACAGGCTGCCCGCAAAACTCGAGAGAGTATACTGTATCCATACAAACAGTATAGTATGACCCCGCGCCACAGGCCATGACTAATTCGAGCGCGACCTCGGCGAGTTAATTCACAGTTACTTCGCAGCGCAAGTTGTTGCCAAACTCCGCTATCCTGAATATCTTCAGTACCTCCAGTCTATCTACGGAGTATCTCAGATCCCATTATTTCCCGCACCACGACGCCAGGGCCGTCGAGACTGGGAGGTCATGGGCCAAAGCCAGTCTTCCGCCGCTGGAGGTAACAATAGCACCCCTGCTGCCGATAATGATCAGATTAAATCTGACTACTATGAGCTGCTTGGGTTGGACAGAACAGCTACAGAAGAAGAGTGCGCCTCACCCTCCACTTCTGATACTCCAGTCCTTCTCTACCTTGTCCTTCTTAGCTGCTGAAACCAAAGCAGTGTAAAATGATGAGGTTTATCTTTACTTTTATTTTATAATTTTATTTTTTCTCAGAATACTAATATATATTCATTTTTCCATTCAATAGAATCAAGAAAGCCTACAAGAAAAAGGCTCTCGAATACCACCCGGACAGGAACTATGGCAATGTCGAGGCTTCTACTGCCATCTTTGCGCAGATCCAGGCCGCCTACGAGGTCCTCTCAGACCCCCAGGAGCGTGCTTGGTACGATTCCCATCGAGAAGCGATCCTATCCGGCCACGATACCCGGGGCGATGCGCAATATTCCCACAATACCAAGATGACCACCGCTGATGATATCACGCATCTCATCATGAAATTCAACCCCCGTATGGAGTTTTCAGATGCTCCATCTGGGTTTTTTGGTGGGCTGCGGGAAACGTTTGAACAGTTAGCCCGAGAGGAAGAACTAACATGTCAATGGGACGGTTTGGACCCTGTTGATTATCCCTCATTTGGCCACAAAGATGACGACTACGACAGCATTCGTCTGTTTTATTTGATGTGGAGTGGATTCGCGACAAAAAAGTCTTTCTCCTGGAAAGATGTCTATCGCTACTCCGAAGCACCGGATAGAAGGATCCGCAGACTGATGGAGAAGGAAAATAAACGATTGAGGGACGAGGCGATTCGAGAATTCAACGACGCTGTCAGGTCCCTTGTTGCATTCGTCAAAAAACGCGACCCGCGTTTCAAAGCCAACGTGCAAAACGAAGCTGAGCGGCAAAAATCTCTCAGGGATGCTGCAGCGGCCCAAGCAGCGCGCTCTCGTGCGGCAAATGAAGCCAAACTACAAACCCACCAGGTGCCAGAATGGGCACAGAGCGAAGGGCTGGACGAAGAAATGTTCAGCGGTAGTGAATCCGAAATTGAAGAGGAATTTTTCGAGTGTGTCGTCTGTCGCAAGAGTTTTAAGAGCGAGAAACAATTTGACGTGCATGAACGAAGTAAAAAGCACATCAAGGCCGTTAAGCAGCTTAAGAGGGAGATGAGGACGGAGGACAAACATATTCAGCAGTTGGGCATCAACCAGGGAACCAGTACCACCCCTTCAATAGGGGATAAAAACACACCCATCACTGCCCCTCAAGAAAACTACGAACCACTTTTCGAGATTGCTGACGATGAGCCAGAAATTATGGATAAGTCAGCATCTCAAGATTTAGATGACCGCACAGACCGTTACAGTATCTCCAACTTAAAGATAAATGAAGCTAAGACCGAAATCCAAACGCAGGAAGCAGACGAAGCAGAGGACGACACGAGCAATACAGACGAAGACTACGCGCCGCGGGAGGTTCTTGAACAACGCATCACCACGGACACGACGATGGCGGCGATGGCTAGTGTCGTGGATGACTTGAACGAAAACATGTCCAAAGCCTCCACCTTAGTTGAGACCAACGATGATAAAAATGGCAATTCAACAGCGCCAAAAGTAGGGAAAGCGAAACAAAAACGCGCAAAACGGGCTGCGCAAGCCGCAACAGAAGAACAGAAGGACGGTAACGGCAAAACATTTACGTGTGCGACATGTCAGAGATCCTTTCCTTCCAACTCCAAATTATTTAGTCACATAAAAGCGTTGAATCATGCACAGCCTGTTCCAAGATCTAATAAACAGTTCGCTCTCAAGGGTACAAAGAAGGGAACCAAGCGTTGAGTCTTTATTGTCTAGAAACAAACCACCGGATTTTTTGCGCCATTTTTTGATGCATAGCGTGAGGCGTTGGTTTTTGTGTTCATGGATTAAATCATTTTTCCTATATACCAGGGCATGGCTGATATTTTCAGTTTTAACATCAGCTAGATGATTGGTGCATCATTTAACATTGTTAGGTACACCTAATACTCCGGATACGTCAAAGACGCGCCATCCTAACAACTTGCATTTCGAGTCCAAGATATATCACAACTACGCTGCAAAGAACATGACAAATTTGTAGAGATTATTCAAAGGGAGATTTCGTACCAAAATAGAATATATATACAATCAAAATGACCCTTCGCTAAATATGTATATGTATATGTATATGTATAAACACAATGCCAGCCCGACCCGCAAATCCTCTTGAGAGCTGTACAATACAAGTTTCAAACAGCAACCATCTGCATGAAAGAAAGAGAAACGAGGAATAGCTGGAACAACAAAATTTCACCCCAACCCAGCCTTGGTGTTCTTAACCACATGAACAACAGGATGCAATATCCCCTTGTTGTTAGCGGCACCCAAAGCAGTTCCACTACTCCAACCCATCCTCTCCAGCATCGCACGGCCTTTGTTCTCCGCCCCGATTTCCGGTGCAGATGCGCCAACTATGTCCCCATCCATATACGACGCAGCTCTTACACTAGCGCCACGAGATTGGGCCGCGGAATTCGGACCCCCAGAACCTCGTTGGCGTCTATCCGTTCGTCGCAGAAACCGCTCACCAAAAAATAATCTCTCAACATGGCCTATTTCATTTCCTTCTACATCTGGCGTGTTGGCTGTTTTGGTAAGGATCGGAAAGCGAGCCGCGCCACTACCTCGGGATATTGAATTCAGGGAAAGTGAGTGTGAGATCTCGTGGACGAACTTTCGGTTTCTCCTGTCCATCGGAGGCAAAGTAAGACTATTTTCGTCGTTAGTTTGAATGGTATTCTCTTCAAAACAAAAACATCAGGAGGGGAGAATGGAAATGAAAACCGTCATACCTCTGATATGGCGATGCCAAAAAGTTCCGTATTTCGTCTTTAACATTATCCAAGGTCATGCCGTGCGGGTATTTTGCCTTCAAATCTACCTTCCCTGGCCCGGTGCCCAACAAGCCCCCTGATCTTTGTTCTTCTCTCTCTTGCCTCTTCGTTTTCTTTTTTTTCCGGTCATTCTCCCAAGCTAAGTGCAATTCCCTAGCCATGTCACTATCAGACAAACCAAAATCTTGTTGATGGGCATGGCGGCGCCCCTTCAGTTTATTCTTTAGGCGTGGGCGGTCAAAGGCCATAGCATCAATTCCACCATATGGATCCTCTTCCAGGGCATTCGCAAGAGCGGAGGCAGAAGGGAAGTGACCAGCTCGGTTCCGTCGCACAGTTAATTTGGATACAGACGTGTACGAGAACTGCGATCTTGTCGCCTTTTCAAAGCCGTCAACGGCATCATTCTCGTCATAGAGTAGGAGATCGTTTGTTCCCAAGCCAAAAGACCCTTGGGTTTGGAGTAGACGCGCCATCTGCTCATCTGTCATGTCGAGTTGCTGTTCAGTGGTATGGGGTTCAAATTCTTCAACCTTGTCTTCCTCTCCCATCTCATTCGATGAAGAAGAGTCAGAGTCCATTTCCTGACTAGATTCGATCGACGCGACCTTCTCCTCGAAACGCTTAATCGATTCAGCCGCACCAGGCATTGTCAAGAGTTCCCTTCCAATCCAACGCGCTTCATCTGTGCTCTCACCCACCCCGACAAGCAAATATTGGATACCCTGATTCCTCTCCCTCATGGAAAAGACGCACGAAACCTCGTCTGGCAGTTCATCAGAAGAGCTAAGGTCGTTTAAGTTTTCAAGATCTGCAGAACTCCATGATGCTCTGCGATCATGGTGTGTTTGGCTTTGAGCATTGATCCCTCTCACACCAGCATCTTCTTCTTTGTCTTCACCCTCCTCACTGGAGTGGTCACCTGTCATATTCGCGATGTAATCGGCCAAGACTTCGGATTCGTCAGAATTCCACTGTGAATTTGGCTTTCTCTGATTACGGGCGTGGGAACGCTTTTGATTTCCTCCGAGGCTTATGAATTCAGGTTGGTTCGCTGGGTTATTACACAACGCCGGATAAAGGGTATGGATAATTATGGGGTCGGATTCGTTATCGGATGGAGCGGCTGGTTCCGAAACCACGGGTTCTTGACCATCCTTATCACGTTTCCCGGGCGAAGACTCGTGGCCTGTACAGAATTCTCGTTCGTTAATGGTATTTAAATTCTCGCTGCAGGGGGCCGGGAAGGAATGGAAGCTTTTGCCCCTCCCTGTGAAAACCACCTCGTCTTCGCTGGAGTCCAGCTGTGCATCTGCCAGGGTGTTGTGCGAAGTGGCGGGGTTCTTAGGTTCCAGATGCTCCTGGGGGTCCTCTCCCTCCCGATCAATGAAAAATATATCCGTGGAATCTGTATCAACGTCAAGCTTTACCCCAGATTCTTCTCCCTTTCCTCCCCTTTCTCGCTCTCCAAGGCTTTCTTCGTGTCCATCTCCTCCTCCTCCTCCTCTTCTTCTTCTTCCCCCCCTTGCTGCTTCTTCATCTGGCCCGGTCATAGTTTCTTCAACGGTGCCATTCAGCCACTTTTGACAGTGCCCATTCACATCGCTTTGGCCCAGAATGACAGGATCTGTGGAGGAAAGGGCGGCATTGGGCTGGTCAGAAGCCGGATCGTTTTTTATCTGATGGTTGAGGACGCTGAGATCTCCAGGCAGCATATCACCAGCACTAACGAATTGTACTTCGTTATATCGTAGTTTGAGGTAGCTCCTGCGGGTTGTGTAACGTTCCGTGTTGCGAGCTTCCTGGGTCAGAGTGAGATGTCCCTTATCGCGCTCTTTTCGGTTGGGGCGGTAGTGGTTAAAACAGTTAGCTTGTTTAGCTGGATAAATAGCTTGGGACATTGTGTATATATTATATTATGTGCGAGAAGAGGTAAACTAGAGCAAACTGCTTACCGAAACCGGTGCGGCTGGTAGAAGATGGATGCCACTTCATGGAGCCCACAAAGCATGGTGAGCTGGGGTCGGGTGTTCCTCCGCCTTTCTCCACGTCCTTGGGGTTTTTGGGCCGTCGACCCATGGCGACTCATGTGGGCGGAGAACTGACAGTGCTGTAAGCCAGAGAGAGGTGCAACTATGGGTGCAGCTGCCTGGTGTCAAGCATCAATGTAGGTGTAGGCCTTTTTAAGTGGGGGGATCCACTGTTGGCTTCGGTGTCAGGGTCGGTGTCAGAGTCGGTATCGTGTTGTTGTGACATCCCGTGGTTGCTGGCTGAATAGCTGAATGAATAGCTTTAGCTGGTTGGTTACTTACTTCGTGTTATATCACTACGGACTGACAAGTTGTTCCGAATATATGCTTTAAACAATATGGTATTTACACATGCTGAAAAAGAAAAAATATATTATTTAGTTGAATATTTAAATATTTCTAATTCTCAGACGCTGCCAACCCTTGGTTGGTTTGACTTCATTTTTTTTTTTTGTTTTTCTGCTTATTTATTTAACTGCCGAGTTAGTTAACGTAATCGATAAGCGAGTCGGCCACTTTCCTCCCCACTGTACAACAAGAATGCCTTCAAAGTCTCAACTATAAAGAAAAACTAGCAAATTACATTATAAATTATTTCCTATATGCTTAGAGCATGTACAGGCAGTATGCTCAATAATCTCACATACACTACACTGTGGTGCTGCACATTTTTGTGGTCATGACTCAGCAGCCTCAACTATCCCTGCTCTCAATTCATTGATTCTTTGTATATGATTCAAGCCTTCTTCAACCCTCAAAGCACTCTCTTGAGCTCCATACATATGGCCTCTTTCTCACTTCTTCTTTTGTTTGGCATTTGCAGCCCTTAACTCTCTGTTTTCAGCTGCTAGAATAGCAGCACTATGCATTGTCATTTGACACTCCTTGATCAGCTGACTTAGAGCACAATTGATTGGACTGAGTGGGCTCTGCATATGATGCTTGATATATTCTTTAACTTTCTCAGCTTGCTGCTCCAATTGATGTATATTATGTGATGTGGCTGTGGCCCAGGAGGCCTGGGAGCTGTGGAAGATCCCTGGGGGGGTGAGGGTATGCATCATGGTATTAAGTTGTGAGAGAACCTGCTCAGAATCATATGAAATCAGCTCAGCAGCTCTAGAGCTGCTCTTGATGTTGCTCTCAGTCAGGACTTGCATCTGAGCTGCAGGATAGAGACTCAAAAACTCCTTCTTATCAATATGATTAATCTCAAGTCACATCTGGTTTTCCACCTGCTGTTCATATGCAGTTTTCAGAGATGAGAAGCAGCCAACATCCAATGGCTGAAGAAGATGAGAGGAATGTGATGGCATGTAGAGGGCAATGATCTGATTCTCAGTGCAAAATTGATCAAATCCAGCTGAGGCATGGCTTCAGTGCCAATCTAGAATCAACAGTTGATATCTGTCCTTCATACAGAGTAGAGTCTTCTTGTTGAACATCTCTTTCAGCCAGTATAAGCTCAGCTGGTCAGTGATCCAGTCATTCTCACTGACTCCAATCACCCAGTCATGTGGAAGCCCTTCTGTCTCATACCAGCAGGATTGATGCATCTTTCCTTTGAGAATAATCATTGTATGCAAGGCTCAGCCATTTGCATTGACTTCAGCAATAACAGACACTCATTCCTAATCTCCAGACTGTACAAGCTTGGAATTCTCAGCTCTTTCAGATCCAGTCACCACCCTGGCAGTCTCAATTACACTCATCTGAAACTCAGTCTCATCAAAGTTGTAGATATCATCTTCCAGAATCTCATACTTCACAATAGTGTTTTGTACAAGCCTAAACCACCCATGAATAACCTCAGGATCCTCACATAAGGCCTGCTGATGATCATACTTGTGTGAGAACTTGGATTTCAGCTCATCATGGCACTTGACAAAGTTTCATACTCAGCATTCACTCACTGTGAGTGGGGGATTGAATCCTCAGCTGGCAAGAAGAAGGTTGGTCATTTCTTGTACAGCTGCAACCTGAGGAGGCTGACCTCATTCATCCATGGCCAGAATCCATTGAACAAGAGATTCTTCCTCTGTAAGACTAAGTTTCTGGTTCTTTGGGGGAGTGTTAAGGTGTGCTGTATGACCATGTACCTGATCACCTAGGGTGGAACATGGAACATCATACAGCTTTGCTGCAGCTCATACACTTGAAATTTGACCATTTTTAAATGCTTGAATGGCTAAAAGAAGCCTTCCTTCCTGAGTAGAGGCTTTATTTCTTTGTGTGGTTGACATTTTTGATGATGAAGATGTTGTTCTGGGATGAGATGAAAAGTGGCCGACTTGCTTATGTGGCCGACTCGCTTATCGATTACGTTAACTAATTATTAGTTAGGCCTCTCGGAGTTGGTTATGGGGGTCATACATACCACTCGATAAGCAATACATTGATAAAAGCTCTGTTGTTGTTCCCTATTATTTTGGCTGTTAAATAACTAAATTCCCCGGTGTGAAAGTCGAGATTCTATGCGATCTTTGGTTGTTGGTAATAAGTAGTATGTTCTCCGTAGATACATCCGTCATTGTTATGTTCTATTAGTTGGTTATATATTTGATTATATAGATCCCCAAAATACACACACACACACACACATATATATATATATATATATATATTTCATCCGTCCGTCATTCAGCTGCCTGCCCACCTATATAATTCTCGCCAACCCGACATCTCCCCCAACCACTTATGACCTAACGACCTCTAATGTCGTTTTGACGCCGCTACATCCATGGGGTATCTGCTCTCTACCTAACCCGACCATAGCAGTCATGAATAACGTTGATATCGGAAAATACAAGAGAATCGTGCAGTATTTCTGGGATCCGGAGCCGAAGAATGACGACACCGCGGGCTCCCCTATCTGGTGTCTAGGGCGTGAGTATCGACCGCTCACCCCTTCACCTCCGCGACAGGCTGATGATAACCACACCAATAACGATATCGACAACGGCAGTGGCAGTAATAACAACTGCAACAACAGCAACAACATCAACAAGAACAATAACAAGAGACCAGACGAAAGCAAAAACGAGCCATACCATTACCACAGACTTTCAACGTCAGACCGCAGCGGCCTTAGCCCAACCAGACAGCTGCCCTTCACAAATAATACCCGTCCCGAATCGACATCAAGCAGCTCATCAGGTCACGACTGGCCAGCGCCATTCCTAGATGATTTTGAATCTAAGATATGGCTTACCTACCGGTCTGGCTTCCCGTTCATCCCAAAGTCCAGCGATCCCAGTGCGGCGTCGGCTATGACACTGGGTGTCCGCCTTAGGAGCCAGTTGGTGGATTCGCAGGGTTTCACTACGGATACGGGATGGGGTTGTATGATTCGATCTGGTCAGAGTCTATTGGCGAGTGCACTGTCGATATTGTCTCTAGGTCGAGGTATGTTCCGAAGCTACTACTAATGAAATATATATATATATATATGCGTGGATGTATGCTGAATTACTCTACAGACTGGCGACGAGGCACCAAAACCGACCAAGAAAGTAACCTGCTTTCGCTCTTTGCAGACGACCCCAAAGCCCCTTTCTCGATACACAGATTCGTGGAGTATGGAGCTTCTGCCTGCGGGAAATACCCTGGAGAATGGTTTGGGCCATCTGCCACAGCAAGATGCATCCAGTAAGCCAACTGGCTTAATATTTCCCTCATACGTCCATCCATTTTCCCACAACAGACAGCTTTACTCACTGAATTTTACCCCAGAGCTCTATCGAGCGAATGCAAACACGCCGGATTAAATGTGTACGTCACAAGCGACGGCTCCGACGTCTACGAAGATCGATTCCGGACAATAGCTAGCGGCGGGGCCACAGAGGCCGGCATCCACCCCACCTTAATCCTGCTTGGGATCAGACTGGGCATCGACCGCGTTACCCCCGTATACTGGGAGGCGCTCAAGGATGTATTGAAGTATCCGCAGTCCGTAGGGATAGCCGGGTGAGCTTTTATCTAGTCCCCTGACCTCCAGCTGCTAACCGGAAGCTATTATATGCATCACCAGCGGTCGCCCCTCCTCCTCACACTACTTCATCGGAGCCCAAGGTTCCTACTTCTTCTACCTGGACCCACACCATACGCGTCCCGCGCTTCCCTACCACGCACCCGGCCAGGTGTTTACCGAAGAGGAATTAAACTCGTATCACACGCGTCGACTACGACGGCTGCATATCAAAGATATGGATCCTAGCATGTTGATTGGGTTTCTTATCAAAGACGAGGATGACTGGGCGGATTGGAAACGGAATGTAGGGTCTGTGGCGGGGAAAGCGATTGTTCACGTTTTTGATAAGGAGAATTCGCCGTTTGGACATGGGTCGGAGAGGGAAGGGGCTGTAGATGAAGTGGAGGTATTGGATGACGAGGAATATGATGAAACCACTAATGTTGATATTGTGGATGATGATGGGAGTACTCGTGATACTGATGTGGGTGACAACTCTAGCTTTTTTCATATCTCGAAATGAAGATGTCGATGCGCTGTATTTTCGTAATTTTATATAACAATAAATGTAAAGTTTCTCGACTGTGGCGCGTGTTTAATCTATGGCGGTGGTTTCTATGTAAATCACAGCCAGAAGCTCTGGTTACGATGGACATCACCGGACGAAGCCGGTGAATGAATTTTTACAAGAGACAGATTTGCACAATATAACAAAGCAGATGGATTTTGCTTTAAAAAAAAGGCTATTGGGCATGCCGGATTGCCTTCATATTCCAGTATTGTACATTCATCAAATTGATCACGAATCCGCAACCGTAAACCATGTGGCATTGCAAGGAGGGGGGGGGGAAACAATAAAAATCAAAGACATCCCATGAAGCGTTAAAGAGAGAAAAAAGAGAAAGAAACCAAAGAAAAACCACAAAACACCCGTAACCGCCTCACTGAGCCGCAAAGGGAAATAAAACATTTGACCATGAGGAATTAATAAAAGAGGAACAAGGAAACCATATAATAGAGAGAAAAAGAAAAGAAACCAGAAAACACGAAAAGAGAGAAACGAATTTATTTGGCGGATGAAGAGTACTTGGTGACGGCCTTTGTGCCTTCGGAGACGGCGTGTTTTGCCAGTTCACCGGGGAGGATAAGTCTCACACTGTAGGAAGAGCAAAATTAGTAACGGTGGGATGGAGTGGATTGACGTCACACATTGTATTTTGAGTCGACAGGACAACATACGAGGTCTGGATTTCTCTGGAAGAGATTGTGGATTTCTTGTTGTAGGCAGCGAGCTTGGAGGCTTCAGTGGCCACACGCTCGAAAATGTCATTGACGAAAGAGTTGAGGATGGACATTGCACGGTTTGAGATACCAGTATCAGGGTGGACTTGCTTCAGAACTAGAAGAGGGGGGAAAACGCGTTAGTATTTTGGGTATCGCGTCATTGTACGAGGAATTTAATGCGTGACCGATAATTGCACGACGTATTACCTTTGTAGATGTAGGAGGAGTAGGTTTCCTTTCTGGTCTTGGTGCGCTTCTTCTTCTCACCACCAGCAGCAGCGGCAGTCTTCTTGCCAGCCTCTTTCTTCTCGGCGGGGGCTTTGCCTCCAACTGGAGCCTTGCCTGCGGTGCTGGGCTTCTTCTCGGCGGCTTTGGGAGGCATTTTTGATGGTGGTTGGGGTTGGTTGGATTTTTAGAAGAGGTAAGTAGAGAATTGAAGCAATGGAAGAGAGTAGAGCGGTTGTAGTGGTGGTAGTAGTAGTAGTAGTAGTTGTTGTTGTTGTTGTGGTGGTGGTGGTGGTGGTGGTGGTGGCGGGTTGATGGGGGGAGAATACGTTTGGGATATATATGTTGGGAGGAAGAGGAAGAGGAGGAGACGGAGTCGCGGTGCAGTGGGCGAGGGCGAGCGTACTACTTATAGGCCCAGCGACACGGGCAGAAATCAGAAACGGATCAGAAATGGCGGGCGTGATCTGAGGTTGGGCGAAGGAAGCAGAATTTCGATACGGTCACAGCTGCGTATGATCCGTATGATTAAGCTCGCGATTTGGTAGGTGTTGTATGGGGCTTGGCACAGTACGGGTGTGTACGGGACGGTAACAGGACAGGCGGCCAGAGCTGGCTGTTGTGATTGGCTGGCGAGGGCGTTGATCCACGGGCCAGCTCCCGTGACTCAGCAGCCGACTGCAGCCAGCCGCCCTCTGACTAAGCAGTCCTGGGCGTGATCTGAGCCCGCAGCGACACGCTCCCAGCAACCGGTGCTTTTTCTTATAAACCACGGTCTCCCTCCCCTCCTCTGCCTCCTCTCTCTGCTCCTTTTTCTTTTTCGATTCTCTCCACAACTCTTCCCGCTCCTCCTGTCCTGCGTCAACATCTACGTCTACGGCGATATACTCTTTATCTCCTGCTACCATTACCATCACGCTACCTCCTTTACATTTCTCTCCCAACTTCTAAAACCTCATCAAAAACCTCTTCAAAATGACTGGAGGCAAATCCGGCGGAAAGGCCAGCGGCAGCAAGACTTCCCAGTCGTATGTGTTTAATTCCTTTCCTTCCATTCTCTTGTTTTGTTTTCACATCCTTGATCATCGAATACCATTTAATCTAACTTGTTTTACTAACTCGTCTCTTTTCTTCTTGTCTCCCTTAACAGTCGCTCTTCCAAGGCTGGTCTCGCGTTCCCAGTTGGTCGTGTCCACCGTCTCTTGCGCAAAGGCAACTACGCTCAGCGTGTCGGTGCTGGTTAGTCATCCACCCCAAGTCTCCATCCATTTATTAAAAAGAAAATGGGTTGAGTCGTCTATTCAAAAACTAATACAGACATGTCATTGTCCAGGTGCTCCCGTTTATCTTGCTGCCGTTCTCGAATATCTGGCTGCGGAAATCCTCGAATTGGCTGGCAATGCCGCCCGTGATAACAAGAAGACCCGTATCATTCCCCGTCATCTCCAGCTTGCCATCCGCAACGATGAAGAATTGAACAAGCTGCTTGGCCACGTCACCATCGCCCAAGGTGGTGTCCTGCCAAACATCCACCAGAACCTCCTCCCTAAGAAGACCCCCAAGAGCGGAAAGAACCCCTCCTCCAGCCTCGAACTTTAAGCGCGTTTTTTTTTTTTTTTGGTTCATTTATGTTTCCTTTCTTCCGCTTCACATTTTCCTTTTCAATCTGTTACTTGCGTTTTTATCTTCTAGTGTCTTGTTCTTCGGCGCAGTCTGGGTTTTCTATGTGATCATGGGATTCTGGTTGGGCAAGCTTATGGCTCTTATTTTTTATGGTGTACATTACGTCTCGGATGGCAATTGGTGCAGGTGGCGATCGTGGGGTCTATTGCCCTCAAGCATATGACGTGCTGGTGATCTTGCGCTTAACAGCTCGATTCATCAATTTAAAGAACTTTATTTTTTAATCCTCTGAGTCTATATCTCCCCAACCCTTGGTATGTAACTCCAGACAATTTTCTGCGATATAGTTGATATTTCACACGTAGTCGCGTTGTTTACTTTCTTGAAATAGCATCCAAAAAAACCCCATTGAGGGTCCTTTTTGTTAACGTCCGTTCCGCTGTCAATGTATACTCTCTCACCTGAACATCTGCTTGTCCTATGAACAGAATAAATCAGCAACCTTTTCTTTATTTCCTATCCCTGTCTAGAATAATTGAAATAATTACGATTGAGGATTATATATCGACTTGTCATTTCCTATCACGAATCACATATTTAACAACGAAGACACTGCGGACATGTTGGCGTTGGTTTCAGCAGACAAATACATACACGGATGCGACTTTGTCATGAGCCTTTCCTGATGATTCTATCTTCTCGTGCCAGCTATTTATAAATAGCGAAGAGTCATACGAAACATATACATATATACACAAAAACTTATATTGAGACGGCATTTTTTATACCACAACACTTAAACTATATAGTAATGGAACGTAAACCCCAATAATCACCAGGAGCCTTGTTCCTTCTCGTCTTCTTTCTGCCTTTGCATTCTGGCCGCGTGGATCTTCGCGGTCTCCCGAGCTCTTTGTTCCTCTTCTTCCATTTCTTCGTGTTGTGCCTTTCCCACTAAATTACGGTAGCGAATTAGTCGGTCAGGCGCATGGAAGGGTCTAGATATAAATATGGAGTATCAGAACAAGAATTCCAGCTTACAAGGTAGATCGCGCACTTCGGTGTTTCTCTCGTATTTCGATCCTGCCCAGAAAACCATCAGCCATTCACTAATTCTCCGATTGGGGGACATCATATGAAGGAGGGTGGGTGGATGTTAGATAGGTGGGGTGATTTGACACCATCAAAACGTACCGCCTGGAGCAGTAGGGGCTCTATAGGGATCGGGATGTTTCCACTCCTCCAGGAGCTTCTCAGTCTCTCGGAATAGGACCTGAACAAAATTTATCAACATCAACATCAACCACAGTGCATAGCGTGCATAGCTCCCGCTGACATATATTGATATAAGTAACTCCATGAACTAGCGGTCAGGGTCAATTGGGTGCGAAAGTTCATACTCTCTGTTGTCGAGGCTCCAGCACATATCTATTTGCTTCAAACAGTGAACGGATATAAACCGCCTGACCACGCCATAGGTTGCGATGGACGGCCCAGTCGAGGGCAAGCTTCAGCGAGCGACGGTAGAGAGACCTGTTTAGAAAAGGGTGGGGAGAGGTATCCGCTATTAGCATATGTATATACAATGAATACAATAGGAAAAGTTCTATAAGGGTTGGTAACAGCTAGAAAGCTCACAGTGCAGTTGGATTGGGCGTCATCGTGGGGAGAGAGAGTTGAAGATTAAACAAAGAGACTGGGAAGTGGCCCAACCCAAAGAAAAACACAGGGGGTTGTTGCAGGTAAATGTGCCTGCTGGCAATATTTCAGGCGGGGTATAGTAAAATATATCCTCTGTCTGCTTAGCCAATTGACAGCCGGATGTAATCTCAATCTGAATTAAATTGCTGTTGTTTGTTGGCGGTGGTGGTTGTGACGATGATGCTTGACGATGCTGCTGCTGGATCCCCCGGCTGGAGAGATGTTCCTCGTTCCGGCCGTTTTCCGCTCGCCAATTTCTCCCCATCTTTGACTGTTAAATAACGCTCTCGGCACGCAGTACTGATATTTTCCTTTTCTTCTTTACTCAACATCTCTCTTTGTGTCTGCCTCTCCGTCTACACAGCAGTAGACCGATTATTACCTGATTCGACCCTGTCGCTTCTTTTCTCTTATTGTTCGGCCAACTTTCTCAATTGGCTTCCATCCTGCCAGCCCGCCATGGCTCCACGGCTACAAATCTCGCAACAAATGTCGAGGAATTTGCGACTCATCCCCAGACATGTCTGTACCGGCTCGAATCGATCCCAAATCTCCTGCAGGGCTGTGTCGTCCATTAGCCATTTGTCGCAATCCAAGGGCAGTCTGGGACCTTCCCAGACCATCATCCCCTTGAGTTCTCCAGCTCCTCTGAGGTATTAACCCTTATTCCAGCTGAGGATCTAGTTTCTTGGTTTAATTAGTTGTCGCGTAGACACGTAATTACCCTATCGAATACGTTGTTTATCGGCAGTCAGAGACGGACCTATGGTTGGTAGACCCGCCATACTTCCTTAGCCTTTTTATTATATTTATTTTGGCTGTGTTCTAACAAGTTGGCAGCGGATTCAATTGTCAAAGTGCCGCAGATGGCAGAATCGATATCGGAAGGAACATTAAAACAGTTCTCGAAAAGTGAGTTGATTCCTCTTCTCTAATATTACACTTCCTGTATTTCGTTTTCTCTCCGTGTTGTATGAAATGTCGCTTAACGAATCTTAGAGGTCGGAGACTATGTTGAACGGGACGAGGAACTTGCAACTATCGAAACAGACAAGGTTATTAGGCACAATTTCAACTGTGTGATATCTTAAAACCGTCCATCTCTCACGCCCATCTTATTTTCTATAGATCGACGTCACCGTCAATGCACCAGATGCTGGCACGATTAAGGAGCTTCTTGCAAATGAAGAGGATACTGTTACAGTTGGCCAAGACCTCATCAAACTGGAGACTAGTAGCGCTACTCCGGAGAAAACAAAAGAAGAAAAGCAGCCCGCGAAACAAGAGGAAAAGACTGAAGCTTCTCGTCACCCTCCTCCGTCACAGCCAAAGCAGGTTCCTTCTCCCCTTCCAAAACCAGAGCAAGCCACTGAAAATCCCGCCCGGCCAAAGCACAACCCGTCCAAACCTGAACCCGCCCAAACATCGCAGCCGGCCCCCGGAAACAGGGAAGAACGCAGGGTACTTCCCCAGACCCGTTACCCTATATTTAGAGCAATCTCGTTAACCAGGTATCCAGGTAAAAATGAACCGTATGCGCCTGCGAATTGCCGAGCGTCTGAAGCAGTCTCAGAATACTGCAGCATCGCTCACCACATTCAACGAGGTTGACATGTCGTCTCTCATGGAATTCCGTAAACTCTACAAGGAGGGTGTCTTGAAGAAGACCGGCGTAAAGTTGGGCTTTATGAGCGCTTTCTCTCGTGCGTGTGTTTTGGCTATGAGAGATGTCCCTACTGTCAACGCCTCGATTGAGGGGCCGAACGGCGGTGATACGATCGTCTATAGAGACTATGTCGATATCAGCGTTGCAGTGGCGACGGAGAAAGGATTGGTGACTCCAGTGGTGCGAAACGCTGAGTCCCTGGAACTTATTGGAATTGAGAAGGCAATTGCAGAATTGGGTAAAAAGGCATGTAAAGAGTTCTGTCCTGTTCGACCTAGACCAGTGAGAATTCTAATCGGTGTTGTGACAGGCGCGTGATAATAAATTGACCATTGAAGACATGGCCGGTGGCACATTCACTATTAGCAATGTAAGTAACTTCTCCTACTGTCCGTACGGTTTTCTGATATTCTTCTTAGGGTGGCGTTTTCGGGTCCCTCATGGGCACACCCATCATCAACCTTCCTCAAACAGGTAAGAAAACACATTTCTTATTCAAACCTGCTATCCGCATCATTCTCACGAACGGTGTGTAGCTGTGCTCGGTCTTCATGCCATCAAGGATAAACCAGTCGTTGTCGATGGAAAAATCGAGATTAGACCTGTGAGTTCTCGGACAGTTTTATCCTTCCTTTCTATGTAGAAGACTAACATCTTTGCAGATGATGTATCTTGCTTTGACCTATGACCATCGTCTACTAGATGGTCGAGAAGCTGTGACATTCCTTGTTAAGGCCCGTATCACTTTCCCTCCTACCGATCCTTGCGGCATGCTAACTGGTCTTATAGATTAAGGAATATATCGAAGATCCAAGACGTATGCTGCTGGCGTAGAGAACACTAGGTCACGAATAGGTTTCGCTGACTCCCTGACCACCCCCACTAGCCTTCCAGTATGTATATTAGGGTTCTCTCTTGCCTTTTAGCACCACGTTGAGGAGATGGCAATAGGTAGATCAGATCAACCGTTCCCTTTTTCAGATTGTTACGGCAGGGAAGTAAATCTCATTGTATCATTGTTTTTTATTTGCCATAGTTTGTATAGAATAATATTTGTTATTAATGGCCTAGGACCAACTGCTAGAGTGAGGCATAGGTGAATTTTCATTTTCCTTTCGACCATTTTGTTTTTTCACCATCAACCCACAACACTTGATCTAAAGAGCATGAAAATTGAAGATGAAAGAGATTGATTTCTAGTGAATAAGTCTGAAAATTTGTAAATGTTTTCATCAACTCATCACTTAAGAAAATACACATTTTATCTCATTAATTCAGTCTTATTCTACAAAAGATAAAGAAAATAGAACTATTACTCTTCAAAATAAAGTTATAAGATTAAAATTCTCTGTTAGATGACTTGAAGTTTGATTAAACTCAAAGTCTAATTTCATATTCAAAAAAAATAAAAAATAAAAAAAATTTAAAAAATAGCTCACTGAAAAAACTTTGATAATATAATTAGTTAGACTTTCTAAAATAGAAAGAGAATTTATTTTTTCAAGCTATAAAATAATTATATAAAGTCTATACAGCTTCTGTATCAAATTATGCAATAAATCTGATGAAAAGAGCAGAAAATTTATGCAAACTATTTTCAAATATTTCAAAATAAACTTTAATTTTAAGAAGATTGAGTGCATTTAAAATATCTTCTATTAGAGTTATAAAATAGAGATCTTAATTTCATTATCAACTATTTGATTTGATAAAAGTTATATAAATTATACTCTGAAAATCATGAAAATGACTTCAGATCATTCAATTTAAATGAAAGTATCTACTTCATATTCATCAGATATATCTCATAAATATCTAATTAAGTAGAGAAAAATTTTTAGATTAAAATAAATTCTATAAAAATTCAAAAAGATCATATCTTTTCAGCTTTATAATGTATGTGTAATGATTATTTTATATCTTCTATCAAGCTTAAATGTGAAAAATATAAATTATAATACATTGTATTCTTGAAAAAGAAACTAAGTTCATTAATAGATATTACTAGTAATGAACTTTTTAAAAAAAGAAGAAAAAACTGCATAATTTAAAAATTATGAAAGATTAATATAAATAAATTCTCTACTTATATATTCAAATGATTCAAAAAGTGAATAGGAATATTTAGAAGCTGATATAGCTTTTAACATATTCTAAATTAAATTTAGAGTATAAGATGTTTTTTTGAAACTTAGAAAAAAGAAGATTGATTTTCAACAATGAGCTCATTAATTTGCAATTTAGAAGTCTTTTATAATGACTAGTAAAAGTGTTATTCAAAAATCAAATATCAAAAATATTTGAATATTTCAGACAGTAAAATAGCATTAAAAAGATTTCAGAGATATGAAATTCAAAGTAATCAAATAAATTTTGATTTAATTCAAAAAATGATAGAAAAAATTAAATTAAAAGATGAAAATATTCAAATTCATTTATCTTGAATATCTGCTGGTATATATATTTTAAAAAATAAAAAGTAGATTTATCAGCAAAAAATGATATTGAAATTCAGAAAATAACTCAAAAAACTATTTTTTAATCTTATATAAAAAGAAAGATCAAAAATATGTGCCATGCAAGATAAATAACAAAGTTTTGAGAAAAAGAAAAGAAAAATATTCAATATATAAAATATAAAATGAAATTAAAATGAAAGTCTACATCAATAAAATGAAAGAAGAAAATATTTTCTTCTATAAATATAATTGAAGTTTGAATATAGATATTTTAAATCTTATATAAAAAACTTCAAAGCTATATAGACAAACTCTGACAGATGTGAATTTGTGATTTAATTGAAAATCTATATCATATTTTAATGAATTGCTCATTAAATAATGACACTAGAAAAAATCTAAAAGAGAAATACTTAATTAATCTGTTAAATATATCTCTTCTTTTTAATATTAAATTGGAAATTTTCTTTTTGATTGACTTTATAAAGAAAGTAAAAATTGTTTCTAGAGAATGAACTACAATTTCAAAGAGAATTGATATAGCTGACATAAAGTTTAAATGTCAATTTCAATTTTTTTTATATTTTTTTTTAAATTTAATATTACATTCTTTAATTCCTTTCTTTATTTCTCAAACTCTTCTTCAGTTTAAATTTCTGATTGATTTGATTTTTTTTATTTTCATTTTCTGTTTGTTTATTATTATTGTTTTTTTAATAAAGTGAGATTGTATAAATTTGCTTTTCTAACAAGTTGATTTTTTCTAAATGCTGTATTATCCTGAAATGAAATCTCATAATTGCATGTTTTAAGTTTGCGTCATTTTAATTATTTG